GGGAGAGCAGGCAGCAGGGAGGGGCGGGACTTCCTGGTGGAGGGCAGGAAGCAGGGAGGGGCGGGATGACGCCCCCTTCTGGCCAGAGGGCAGCAGCCCCGGAAACGCAGTCACAGCGAGTCTCCTCTCAGAAGCCTGGTCCCCTGATGGTGGTGAGATCAGAGCTAGGCTCTCACTTCAAGTCAGGCGGATCTGGCTTCTCCTATGGTAACTGGCACTTAGGGCATGTTAAGTGCATATTTGAGCAAAGATCCATTTAAATCAGGCAGCATGCAATCTAGTAGATAAAAAGGAGTTCTGAGAAGCTGTACAAAATGAAACATTTTTATAGCCAGAATAGAATGGGGAAAGAATGTTATAGTAAGCAGAGAAGTAGGCTGCTGGAGGCAAAGTTACTTTCCTCTGGTCTAGGGGGTGGTGGGGGTCTATCTAGTGCTGATCAGGTGATTTCTGATTGACTGGTTTAAGAGTACATTTCTGGTTAAGTCTTGGCTTTGGTGATGTGGGACTTAGCATAAGCAACTCCATTTTGGGCCTGTTGTCTTGTTTTCAACAATTCCCCTCCTTCTGATCAGATTATCAGCCACACAGAGAGATGTGGTCAATATTTAAGGCATTGGCATTATTCGTGCTACTGATTTGGAGTTCTCCATTATTTTTTTGCTGAGTCTCTGTGGGGTATTCACAGGTAATGATGTCGGGTTCACATTTTTAAGTCAGTCATTCTCCTTGCTCTTTTTCTGATGTTCTAATCTTAGGGAGATCATCTTCTTGGTGGTTACTGGCTGTGAACATGCGTTTACAACTTTTGAGGTACCAAGGAGACTAATGATTATAAGCATGACTAGAGGCCAAGTGCACGAATTTGTGCACATAAGGGGTCCAGCCTGCCCACCCTGATTGGGGCCATCTCGATGGGCCAGGGGGAGGAGATGAGAGAGGTTGGCCGGCTGGCTCCGCCCCCGGTCAAACTCCAGGTAGAGGGGCCAATTTGCATATTAGCCTTGTATTATATAGGATAATTCTCAATGTCTGAAATTCATTTCAGAGCCAAACCAATTAGGATAAAGTAAGTTTAAAAAAGACCCAGTTTTAAGGAGTCACTTTCTTAAGCAAACTGGCTTCTTCTTATGTAGCTGAGTCTCAACTTCCTCAGAAGTGGCAATCCAACATATGAGGTTACCTTTCTTGCTCACGCATTTTGTAATAGAGATAACATGAGCTTACTTGACTTTTAGTAAACCTAGGTGGAATAAAGTATTATATTTAATTCTAATAACGCTAAAGACATGCCTGCTTTATTTAAACTAACAAACTTAAACTAGAAGTTTACCTTAGATCAAGTGACCTTGACAAACATTTGGTAAGACTCAAAGTCTTTGCTTTTTAGGTCGAATAAAGGTTAAACATTTAAAACAAAATAAATAAAACCTTTTATAATCTATTATCAAGAGCAGACCAATAGTCCAGGAACACTTTGTCCTCTTAGCTGATGAAAACAGTAGACTTATGTAAAACAAAAACTTAATTTTCTTTCATTATGTGTTTTTAGTAGTCTCTATATTTTTGAGGGTATATACTTGATTTCAACAGAGCTCTTTAAAAATGAATTTTGGCTATACCATTCAGAGAAAGAAAAAAATGACCCATGTTTAACATATAAGTATGCATAGACATGCAAAAATATATAGACCAATGCTACCAGAGATCTTGTAGCTTTCATTTTAAAATCTTAACTATGAGACAGGTACAACAATGCACAGCTCACTAGTTTAAAAAAGAACAGTTGGATCAAAACTGTGTTTCTGGCAGATGGGTAAGTTAAGGTTACTTGATCAAGTGACAGATGGCTGAAGCTTTTTGCTAATATTTGTGAAGGAGATTTTTAAGGTTTTTGTTTGTTCTTGACACATATAGCAGGTCGTCGCATAATGTTTTGTTTAACACTAAACATTTTGATATAACACTAATGAATTGCCCCAGGGATTTAACTCGTTGTTGTTTTTTTTATATCAATAAGGCTGTGGTAAAATTGTAATTATTATGCATCATTTTGCTGCAGTTCCAAGAACCTATTGACATTGTTAAGTGAGGACTTAATATAATTTTATAAAGGCTGTGGACAAGATTTTCAACAGGAGTGCCTTTATAAGAATCTATATTTTTAAAAGCCTCTTTCCCAGTTTTATATGTCTCCATCTCCTTTGCTTGTGGGCAGTGTTTTACTTACCTTTTGGGGTGTTTACATCATAAATACGCTCTTCCTAAAATTGTTCATATTTCTATTTCATAATCCATTAATTTTATTATCTGCAAGTATAGATTTTTCATTGCATTCTGAAAACAAATTACTCTCTGACTAAAATGACAGATATTTCATGCTTATAGTAAATTCCCTTCATGTTGTATAATATAGCAGAAACACTCTACATACTAACAAGTACTAAAACATTATTGTTTGCAAAAAGGCAGAGCTAGTCTCCTTTCAGCCTCTGGTCATAGCTTGCCCATCCATCAGTTAGTACATCATCTTGTTTTATATGTGTCTCTATTTAAAGACATCTTAGTTGTGACTGGCTTTTTTCACTTAGCATAACATTTTGAAGTTTTATGTATGCTATATTCTAGTGTATGGGTATACCACATGTTGTTTACCCATTTATCAGTTGATGAGTATTTCGGTTGTTTCTGGGTTGAGGCTCTTATGAATAACGCCACTGTGAACATTGTGTACAAGTTTTTTGTGTGAACATGTTTCCATTTCTTTTGGGTATGTACCTAGACGTGGAACTTCTGGGCCATTGGGTGACTCTCGTTTTCCAATGTGGCCCCGCTATTTTACATTTCCACCAGCAATGGTACGAGGGGTCCGATTTTTAAACATTCTCATGAATGTTTTTTATTTTATTTTATTTTTTTAATCTTTAATTTCTTTATTGGTTAAGGTATTACAAATGTGTCCTCATCCCCCCAATAACCCCCAACCTCCCCACCCACTCATGTTCTCATCCCCCTGTTGTCCATGTCCATTGGTTTGGCTTATAATGCATGCATACAAGTCCTTTGATTGATTTCTTCCCCTTACCCCCCCCCTCCCCTACTTTCCCTCTGGGGATTGATAGTCTGATCACTGTTTCTCTCTCTTTGGATCTGTCCCTGTTCATCAGTCTATGTTGTTCTCTATATTCCACAAAGGAGTGAGATCATGTGGTATTTATCTTTCTCTGACTGGCTAATTTCACTTAGCATAATGCTCTCCAGTTCCATCCATGCTGTTGCAAATGGCAAGAATTCCTTCTTTTTTACTGCAGTGTAGTATTCCATTGTGTAGATGTACCACAGTTGTGTTTATTTTTTACTGCATTTCTGTGAAATGCCCCCCCCCATAACCCCCCATAGGCATTTCCCTGGAGGCATCTCCCTACAGAAAGCAGATTAGTGACTGCCTGGGGTTAGGGTGGGAGGACAGGGAGGGGCACTGGGAAAGGGAGGCAACTGTTAATGGGTATGGGTTTAAAGTCCTACAATTGGCTCCTCTCTGAGAGGGCGTGGCTAGGCCCTGGGGGGCGTGGCTGGACTCTAGGGCAGACCCAGCCAGCTTAAAACCCTGCTGAGGGGCGGCTGCCCACACTGTGGTGGCTGTTAAGCGTGGAGGCATGGAGGAGGGCGCTTGCCTCTGCGGAGTGGGCTCTTCGCTGGGATGTCGGCGTCGTCAGGAGTGCCAGGGCCCAGCTGAGAGGGCAGCGCCCAAGGGCAAGCAGTGTCAACAGGAGTGCCAGGGCCCAGCTGAGACGGCAGCGGCCGAGGGCAAGCCAGCCCTGGCAAAAAAGCACCTCGAGGCGGACACGGAAGCGCGGTGCTGTGCGGGGAGTGGAGGAATCTCGAGCCCCATGCCGCCCCCGCACTGCTCGCTGCAGGACCTGCCGGTGGAGATGCTAGTGAAAATCTTCATCTTGCTCCCCGGCACCGACCTGCCCAGCCTGGCCCAGGCCTGCACCAAATTCCACCACATCCTGCACACTGACAGCATCTGGAGACGGCGCTGCCGGGAAGAGTATGGCGTTCGTGAAACCTTGCAGAACCTGAAGATGATCGGTATGTCTTATCGAGAAGTCTATGCGAAGCTGCTCCACCCATACAGAAACATTTTGGGATTGTGGCAGCTAGATAAAGACTATGGAACACTGCTGAATGTAGTGGTAGATGGCTTATGCATTACTGGTGGGACGTGCAGGCCTTCCCATAACACCCATGTGGATGACCCAATGCAATTCAAGCCCTCCTTTAGAATTCGCCTGACGGAGAGAAAATCAGCCACACTGGAGTACCTGGACGACTTCTACAGCTTTTCCCACAGCCGCCACCTGCAGATTCGGAAGGACAGGTTCAGCATCCAGTGGATCCAAAGAGACCACCGAATGGATTTACCACCGCAGATTAGGAGAGAACGGGGGCTGGAGCTGGTGCGGGAGGACAGACAGCAGTATGACTGGGTGACCTACCGTCGCCTCTACCTCCCACCAAGCCACCCGGATGACCTCATCAGGCCAGGCCTCTTCCAGTTCAAAGACGAGAGCTTCAGACCAAAGAAGATTGCCATACTCAGCTTCCATGGGAAGTATGCCAGGGTCACCGAGATCAGGGGAGGGTTAATCTGGACGTTTGAGATCCACCTCAGGCACGGCATCCAGCTGCGAGATGGCCAGATCTTCCGCAACTTCAACGAGCTCTCCTGCATGGTCCGGGAGATTGACGAGCAGGTGATCCGGGAGCTGGAGCAGCAGCAAGAAGACGGGACTGAGGAAAGCCAGGGCCATGGCTGGCAGAGCCCTGCCCAGCCCAGCGTCGGGGAGTCCGGGGCTGCAGCTTCGGAGGAGCAGCCTGTTCCGTTTGTTCTGCCTGTGGGCGTGCGCTCAAGAGACCAGAACTACCCCCAAACCTGCAGGATGTGTTTCTATGGAGTGCACAATGTTATCTTAAGTGGCTTCCACAACCTCATGCGCCTCCCTGGAGTCGTCATCCTGTTAGATGAGAACCACCTCGGGTTCATCTCGCTGGAGGAGAAATACTTCATCGTGCTTGGCAGAGTCCAGAACACCTTCCAGAATGTGGAGGCGCCATCCCCGCAGGCCTTCCTGGAGATGCTCTCGAACATTCAGTCCAGACACCCTGTGATGAGCAGCTTCCATGCACTTTGAAGATTTGACCTTCTGACCAGGTTACCCACCTTTGTTTGTTTTTTAAATCCTCACCCGAGGATATTTTCCCATTGATGTTTAGAGAGAGTG